AACTGGTCAGAATAATCTGACACTTTCACCAAACTGGTCAGAATAATCTGACACTTTCACCAAACTGGTCAGAATAATCTGACACTTTCACACATTTCCAGTCTCCTTACCTGATGAGTTCTGTTAAATTAGAAACCATAATCAGGGGTGTCAAACATGTGGCCCGTGGGCCAGAACTGGCCCATGCACAGCTCTTATGAAGTCTGCGAGTAACTTGTCGTTACCTGTATTGCCAGAGGACAGAGTCTGTGCATTATGTCCCTGCATACTGTCCCAGTGCTAATGAGTGATGGGCAGTGGAAGTGGAGGGTGGGTATCAGGGAGATACTTTAAGGAAATACTATAAGAGCATTAATGTTTTAAGCATCGTTGTATTTTTTTAATTCTATTTTTTAATTATTTTTTAATTTTACAATCATATAAAATGTTAACTCAAACACAATTTTAACATCAAATCTTAAACAATTAACAAAATAAACCACAAATACACAAACCCAATAACCTTAATCTTAATCTGAGTTATACATGTTATAACAACCTTTATATCCCTTGTAGGTATAAATACATTAAATAGGATTAGTACAATACAAAATCCTTATATTTAGCAGGAAGAGCATTAAAATCTTTCTTTTCATTTTCTATATATTGGAAAAAGGAAAACCATTTCTCCAAAAAGTTTAGTTTTTTCTTTGAGCTATCTGCAATTAAGCATGTCTGTATTTTGAGTGAAAAATAATATCATTAATTGGATTTGCCTGCGTCCTTTATAAAGTTTATATCTCCCGTACCTGGCATTAGATTTTTCCCGGGGGGGGCTGGGGCTGGGCCAGAGGCATTGCTGTGCTAGGAGCAAGGGTGACTCCCGGGGGAGGCTGAGCACTTTCCTGAAAATTTCGGCGGGGGCTGAAGCCCCGCCGCCCCCACGAAGATTACGCCTATGTCTCCCGTACCTGGCATTACATTTTATGGCACACATGGCCCAGCCCAACAAAGTGATATTTATGTCAGTTCCGGCCCTTGTAACAAATGAGTTTGACACCACTGCCTTACGTAGTCTAGCCAGAACTCAAAAAGAGTCCACATGGGGGAGAATTCAAGGGGAGGGGCCACACTTTAGGGTTAGAGCATCTGCTTTGCATGCAGAAGGCCCCAGCCAGGTTCAATCCCTGGCATTGTTCCAGCTGAAAGGATCAGGGAGTAGTTGATGTGAAAGAGTTCTGCCTGAGGCCCCAGAGAGCCACTGCCAGTCTGAGTAGACAATACTGACCTTGCTAAATCACCGGACTCAGTATGAGGCAGCTTCATGTGTTCAAGGCACTCAATCATCCTTTGGAAGAGTCTGATGTAAGACAGTGTAGGGGGAATTGCACACAAGAGATACAGCTGGGATTACTGGCTGTTAGTGGGAAAGGACTTGGTAAGGAGGAGAGGACGCAAGCTTACCAAGAGGTGGGTGCAGCGCAGAAGACTCCAGGTGAAAAGGACCCGATACAGCAGACCTGGAAAGGATCCCATCTGCTGTAAATGAGCAGATGTTGCGCAAGACTCGATAATTCACAGGCTGGACTCACTGCATAGACTGCGTAGGAGGGCAGATGTTTCCCTTCTGCTTTTCTGCCTGAAGGACCCACCGGCAAATTTCCTGTCAACTTTGACCCACACCTCTGTCAGCTGCCGTGTGATCCGTTTGGCCTGGATCGTTTCTGCTCATTTTTGTAGTGCTTTGGTTGCTGTTGCTTGTCAGCTGTGTTTTCCTGATCCCTGTTTTTAAACTTCTAATAGTTAAGGAGTTGGCTCAGGAACTTGTGTGCTAAGACCAGACTGTGGGATATAAAAGTTTCAGAATAAATGCAAGAGCTTGGTTTGAATGTCAAGGATCTCCCTTTATTTTGGTAGTGGTTACATGGGGGTGGGGTGTGCACAAGCTTTCCCCTGATCACTAAGGCTGCATCCATTGGTCTAGAATGGACTTAGCCATTCTGAGCTATGCACTTGTTGTAAACAAACTGTACTTCTGCAAATTCAAATTGTCTTCTTGGTGTTTCAAACAATTACACCGGTGGGTAGGCCCTGCTCCAGGGTGAGTCTTAAAACAGGCTACTGGTATCAGTGGCATCTATATACGACATCCCATTGGAGATGAGGCAGGGTCTGTTGAGTATATGGACAGTAGTCAAGCATGAAATCCACACAGGAAGCAAAAAGTAGAAATCAATGGACAGTTCTCACAATGGAGAGAAGTAAACAGTAGGGTCCCACAAGGATCAGTATTGGAACCAATACTATTTTATTCATAAATGATCCAGAACTAGGCGTGAGTAGTGTAGTGGCCAAGTGTGCATACGACACAAATGATCCAGGATCATGAAAACCAAGACTGAGTGTGAAGAGCTTCAAGAGGACCTCCCCAAACTGGGTGAGTGGGCGACAGTGTGGCAAATGAAGTTCAGTGTTGGTCAGTGTAAGGTGATGCACATTGGGACAAAAAGATCCCATCATCAAGTGTAGGCTGATGGGCTCTGAACTTGGGAAGACTGAGAGGGAAAGTTCTTGGGGGTCATAGGGGATGGCTCAATGAAAAGTGTCAAGCCAGTGTGCTGCAGCAGTGAAAAAGGCAAACTCGGGGATTATTAGGCAAGGGGTTAAAATGACTAACATTGTAATGCCCCTGTACAGATCTATAGTGCAGCCTCATTTGGAATACTGTGTACAGTTCTGGTCACAGGATCTCCGAAAGGACATTGCAGAGCTGGAAAGGTACAGAGGAAGGAAACCAAGATGATTTGGGGGTTGGAGCACCTTCCCTTTGAGGAAAGGCTGAAGAGCCTGGGACTTCTCAGTTCAGAAAAGAGATGGCTAAGTGGGGACACATGATAGAGGTTTAAAAATTATGCATGGGGAGTTGACAAAAGAAAACTTTTCCCCCCCTCCCAAAATACTAGAACTAGAGAGCACCCAATGAAGTTGATGGACAGTAAATTCGGGATGGACAAAAGGAAATACTTTACACATAGAATGACTAAAATGTGGAATTTGCTGCCAGAGGATGTTGTGATGGCCACAGAAATAAAAGAACTTAAATCTATCAGTGGCTACTAGCCATGGTGACTGAGGGGAACCTCCACATTCAAGGACACTAATCCTCTGAATCCCAGACCCAGGAGGCAATATCAGGGGAGGGTCTCCCCTCTCAACCTCGATGCCCTGTTGTAGGCCCTTCCAGAGGAACTGGTTGGCCAGTGTTGAGCCAAGATGCTGGGCTAGATGGACTATTGAACTGATCCATCAGGGGTCTTATGAACTGATGAAGCCAACAGCCACATGGACAGCTATCTGCTAAGAACCACATTTGGATTCAAAGTGGACCCCCAAAGTGAACATTAGGAATGTTCATCATGAAAACCCATTCAAGAAACAGGCTGGGAACAATAATGGCTGTTGTGGACTAGAAACTTCATTTGGGAATGTACTTTATATGAGACAATTCTAACCAACTTCCCTTGGTTTTCAGGTGGTTTCTTTACATATATTGCGCCTAGGGTTGCCAGTTCCAGGTTGGGAAATACCTGGAGATTTGGGGATGGATCCTGAAGGGGGCAGGGTTTGGGGAAAGGAGGAACTTCAATGGGGTATAATGCCATAAAGCCCACCTTCCAAAGCAGCTGTTTTCTCCAGGTGAACTGATCTGTCACCTGGTGATCAGCTGTAATAGCAGATTCTCAAGCCATCACCTGAACCTTGACACCTCTAGTTGCACCCCCAGCACACATACCCCTTTTTACCAGTTTGTTCCTCTCCTGTTCTCAGATTAAAGTAACTTGCAATTGTGTAGAGTGCACACGTATCTCTAAAAACCCACTTGTGTTTGCATTACACATAGCACTTGTGAGTGCTGATAGGTAGGATACCCTGGCCAGAGACCACATGAGAAGTTGAGCCGTTTTTAAACTTTGAAAAAACTTTATTACAAATGGTATGCCCAAAAGGGGCTTTCTTGTAGAATGACAACAGTACAAAATATAATTAAAATTTTTCGAACCCATACAAAAAGCAAAATACACAGAAAATAAATCCACAGTAGAAAATAAATCCACAGTAGAAAAAAAGACAAGTCAGTCCACTCTAAAGTTTGTGTCTGACCAGTCACTTAGACAGCATTTTTTTTAAAACAACAGAGTTCGGTAGACTGCCAAAGCCTGGAATCAGTTAACACTTTAGATATGCAGTGCTATTAACAAATACATTGTTTTTTAAAAAGTGCATTTTACTCTGTCAGTGGGGGATAAACCAAGTGTTTTTTTTTTGGGGGGGGGGAGTTGACAGAAGAGCAGCCCAGAAGCAAAACAGTTTTGCACTGTGATTTAAGTCAGCCTTCAGCTATGGATATGAGGCATACGGTTTTTACTCATATTTGTCAGCTGTGCATGGGAGTAAAAGCCTGCTTTTGGCACCATTGGTCTTTGGGTCTAGTGCATTTTGATATTGCTGGGCGTTTTTGACACCAAGGCAGCAAGGGAATGCCTGAGAGTTCTCACTGCAACAGGAAGACACAAGGAAGACTGCCTTCCTTCAAGGCCTCAAATTTCATCCCTGCACTATGAGAGGCTGCTGCCATTTTTTGTTGTCGCCCCTTCCCCCCCAAGGGTTATCAACACTGGTTTATCCACATAATACAAGACGACAACAACAAAACCAGAGATACAAAATAAGAAAATAAGCACAGTGATTCTTCTCCCTTAACCCCCCCCCCAAAAAAATGGCTTGTTTATACTTAGGAGATGTCAAAGTCAAGTTAAAACATAAATACAGGAAAAATTAAGTGCTACGTAAATGGTCAGCTTTTGAGACTTTTCAAAACTGGCCACTTTTGAACAGATACACTTGTAAGCGGTATACAAGTTTGCTTGTTAAATGACAAAACAAAAAGAACATTCAGAAATACAAACCATTGCATTTTAAGAAATAGGAGCTCTCCCCCTTCTTGGGCCTGTTCTCTCATCCACCTGGAGTATTTCGGTGGTATAAAAGAGCAACACTTTCTACTACTTGCTAAATCCTTCTATTTTCACCTCTTCCCTTCTTCATCTAGCACCAACAAGACAATCCAGCATCTCTGACAACACTTACAAAACATCCTAACTCTTCTCCCACCAATAAGAGCCCCCCTTCCAAGAGGTTAAAGTGTTAAATTTTTAAAGAAAAACATTTGTTCAGGAAGCAACATATTTTTAAAAAGCTTGTTTTAGTATTGAAATTGTCAGACATAACCCCCTCCCAATGTCTGTAGCTAGATCATAAGGTTCAAAACACTTCTGATCACGGATACAAAAAGTTACTGATACATGCATCTGTGGCACATAGCCATGTTCTGTTCTCTTATATCCCATAATCTGTTAGTTTTTCCCTTCATCTACAGGAAAACACCATATGCTCCCCACTTGTATGAACTCCCCTGTATGCTCCTACCCCAAAGTTTTTATTTTTTAGGAGTTTTATTTCAGCACCTGATGGTTTGAGGGGGGGAGTTCTTAAAGCCTTTTGGGGGAGGAAGTAGAGAAACCAATCTCCACCACTGACACTAGAGGCTTCTCTTCGCCTACGCCAAGTCACTTTGGACAAAAGGCATTAAAGGAAAACAGCCTTGCAATTCTACTCCTTGCTGGCAGCTGCTTTCTTTCCTGCAAGACCACGGAGTGTCCTGCCACCATGAAATCTTCCCTTTTGAAAAAAAAAATCAGGAATTTTCCACCTGGTGCAATCTGTGAGTGCAATACTTAAATGAGTCCAGAAAAGGCTGGAGAAGACAACTGTGCAAAAGTTACTTCCTCTTTAGCTGGTGCTCACTGAACGTTATTGTTGGCAATGCAAGGATCCACCTGGAAGAGAGGAAAAACAAAGAAGAGGATGAAGTTCTGTCTGAGGTCTGCAAATCAGATCATGTTTCCATCTCATTGAACAAGTCGAAGTATTGGGGGGGGGGCCTCATCTCTCCTTAACTTGGAACATTAACAGATTTCCCCTTAGACATCTCTTTTTCATTCATGACCTCCCCCCCCTTCTGCTTTGCTGTATTCCCTCATTTGCACTCAGTGTAGACTTATTAGGAAAAAAGGCAATAGATACCCTTATTAAATATTAGAGATGGGCAAGCTCATTTCTTAACTGCCCGCAAGTCAGACATGCAGCCGAAAACACTGAAGAATTATGCAAAAATGAAAGACAGACTAGACATCCAGCTATAGAATGGGTTACAACTTGGACAGAACTCTACTGGGTACATTATCTACTCTGGGGTGCACTTCAGTCCAGAACAGCTAGGAAGCCTCACCTCTGTGTAGGTTGGTGGAGGCATGAACTTGAACTCTGGTGCGTACATGAAGATGGGACTGTCAAAGGAGTTGTCCAGCTCATCTAGAAGAGGGGTGGTAGGACTCTCCAGGCGGTGATCTTCAGGGACAATGTCCAGATAGCAAGGAGGTGCTATAGAGAAAGAATATATAAGTTAACCAAAATCAGGTTTAAGTATTTTTCCTCCAGCCAGCTCCCTTTGCAATGACGCCTACCCGCACTCCAAGTCTAGGAGCCATAACTCTTTCCTCCCCTAAAAATGATGAGGCCTCTCTCTACTCACCTTCTGGGGCATCAGGGATGTTGAGGTCCACCCAGCTCATCTCTGAACTAGCCTGGCTGGCCATGCTGGAGCTACGGCTGCCAATGCCAGAAGACTTGCTGCCAATGACGAGGGGCAGCTCTAGGATGATCTTCTTGGAACCTGGAACACTGACATAGATCTGCAATAACACAAAGGGAAAAAAGCAGCGGTGAGATTCAATATCTTGAGGGACAAGAATATTCAGAACTTCCTGGAAATCTCTAAACTGACCCTTTAAAAAAAGAAGAAGAATGAACAATGGCCCATGTTTAAGCTGAAAGCTGTTGAACACATGCCAAGGTGTCACTCCCTCCATCGCAAAAAATTTAAGTATTTCAGAAGTATGCCTTCTGCCCATTCAAATGCACCTAGTAAGTGGTGTGCTGACAGTGATATGCCAACTACCTTGCATAAAAGTCCTGTAATCCAGATTTAAAAGACCTTCCAAATTCCCTTTTCTGCCAACATACAAAAATGCTTAGGAAGGGTGGTATGGGTGAAATCTGATGGGACATCCCTCTCAAAGATATTCCAAAATTTGTCTGCCAGTTGCAAATCATTGACACTGCTGGAACCTCTGCATTCAGCACAAGCTTTAGGGCCACACCCAGGCTCAAAAATCCTGCCCCACATATAGACATGCCCCGAGTACTTGGATTTAACAAAGATTAACTGCCCAACTCCATGACAGACTCACAGAGCATGTGGTTTGCTGACTAATTGAACCCTTCAAGCAGAGTTTTGAGTACACTGTTGCTTTCCTCACCTGTAGGAAGTACTCTACACGCAAGATGTTGCAGCCCAGGATGGATGGTTTGATTTTCTTGACTCGGAGGGTCTTGCCACGCCAAGTTTCCGACATGCCGGAGACAATGTGGTTGCCCCGGACACAGGACAGTTTCTGGGTGAAGACCTTGGTTTGCCCGTTAGCCAAGTAGGTGTGCTTGGAAATGATGGCTGCCTTAGGCACCACAATTCGGGAGCAAGTGTTCTCAAAGTCGGCGCTTATGCAGATGTCGTCACCTGGAAGAGCAGAGTGGAGACACCACTTAGCCATGGAAGAACTTTAGAACTTCATAGACAGAACAGAGCTACTTCATGACAGAATGACACATTCCCCAGCATAAGCTACCCTGAGCTGGTCCTAGTTCCCCATTAACTCCAGCTCTTTTCCAAACCTGACCTTCTGTCAGTAAATTTTAACATGACAACAGCTCTCATGCACAACGTTTTCTCCCCTCTTCCACAAAGTGAGAAGGATCAAGGACTCACCTTCACAGAACCCTTTGCGATCAATCCTGGCACTAAGAGATATGTGACCATCAGGAATGAACATGCAGGAAACTCTCTTTTCCTTCTTGGCAGAGACAGGTGACTGTAAAGAAGCACACAAAAAGGCATGAGCATGAAATCTGAAATCCGAGAGGCACACTGCCTTATTTCCAAACTGTATTCCTGTCCACATAAATCTTGGTTGATGGACCTCCTGCACAACCTTGACTGGCTTGCCCCTCATTTACAGCTTAAATTGTAACTCTAATAATTCACAAATGTCTTTTTAAACATCCTTTAAAACAAGGCATGTGAATAAAGCACATCATCAGGCCAATTTCAGACCAAAGATTTAAAAAGGAAAACACAAGCGTTTCAGCTGACAATTCTGGCCCACTAAAAATATTCTGAAAGATGGCCAGTTTAACACAAGCTGCTACAATAAACTTTACAGAGTGGGTTAGCTACCAGTTTAGCAGCAAGATGAAAGCAATGCCCCAAAATGATAATTACCATCAAGTCTGGAGTGTTGACATCAATCTGATCCATAACTTCAAAGTGCTTCTTTATCTCTTGAGTTGGGAAAGATGGGCGATCCAGGAAAGCCTTCACCCAATAATCAACGCAGCCGTATTTCCCCTTGAAGGTAGTACCAAGAGGTCTGGAAAAAACCAACAACGGATGTTCATTAGACACAGGAAGCTTAGAAAAGTAGCAATCTTGTGTTGAGTGATGCTTTGGTGGCCACATCTGACCAATACCTACCCTTGTGGCAGCTCAAATCCAAACTTGTATTCATAGGTGTTCCCCGGCCTCAGAATCACAGAGCCATCTGTATCTATGAAAGATATCATATAGGGAGAAAACCATTAGTCTTCTGGATAAAACAGTTTTAAAATACATTATGCAGCAAATTCCAGCTCCACTGGAGAAGCTCAAGCTACTCTAGGTTAAGGAGAAACTCCTTATCAACATGCTTAGATACACATGGGAATTTTAGTCCCAAGGGTTTTTAGGATGTCCCAATTTTTGGTTGACAAACCAGAATGTCAATAAATGCCTCTTAGTACACTACAAATACACACAGCTGGCAAGAACTCTTTTGAGAGCGATTTCCCTCTATGAACACCATCCAAAGAGTACTGCAAAGAATGAATTGCATGAGCCAGCAATCTAAGGAATTTCTCATTGCCCCAGCTCACTCCTCACTCACTGGGATTGCCAGCTAAATGCGACTGCTATGACACTGGCAGTGGTGGTGGGGACACTCCTTGTACTATCAGTACAAGTCCATAGCCAGACTACCTAGCCAGGCAATTCCGTACTGCAGCACCTATTTCTGGGATGTACTGTACGCAGTCTTTTCCTGGAAACCAATGTAGCAGGGGAAGTACATAATACAGTGGATGCTGCTGCCAGTCATTCAAAGGAGATCCGCTCTACCCACCCCAGTATCCTTTGTTCAGTTCTTTAGGTTTCTTCCTTGACTTTGCCAAAGCCCAACTCTTAAAATTGATGTATTGTTTCCTAGCCTGCATCCTCTTATATCACAGACAAAGGCAATACTCCCATGAGTTTACCACAGTGTAAATTCAATTTGAGTCTATGAGACTTAATTCCAAGTAATCATGGATAAGATTGAAATATGGGGGGATCTTTCTAAAAACACAATTTTAAGTGATTTGAGTTTCATCTCCATTCTCCTGTGTACAACCTCACAATTAAAAGATTCCCAAGAGACCCCTAAATTTTTTCTAGTTTTCTAATCCTAACCATATTCCATTGTTTATTGGGCTGCCTGAAATTTTATAATCCACACTAAGTTCCAGAAAGATGGGCTTTTAAAGTAAATAAGGCTGAACATACAGCATAAAAACCCTGTGTGAACATGATCAAAGCCAGATACAAAAAATTAGGGGTGTGCATTTTTAAAAAAAGTTTTAGAAGTTCTCCACTTGGCTAAACATTACTGTATCCATTTGAGGAAGCCAATTCCCAGTCATACCACAGGGCTGAAACTGAAACCTGCATCTAACTGAATACAGAGGAAATCCCACTAGATTAATTTCCAAGCCAAGACATTTAAGATTGGAAGTGAAGAGTCTGTAAAAAGGACCACTTTTCTTCTCAGAAGGTTTCAATTTCAATGTTTTAAAAACATTTTTTACAAGATTCCCAAAGCCAACCAAGATGCAGACACACCAGTACACAGAACAAAAGCCCAGCCACACACACACAAGAATGCTCACCAACGGGATGATCATCCAGCGTGAGGACGTCTTCGTAACGAAGATACTTCATCTCTTGCTTGCACTGCTGGGGCCCTTTGATCCACAAGACCTTGGCCACCCCGCAAGCCAAGATTTTGACCGAGGTAACCCGGGTGACTTCGGCCACTTCCACGGCCACCCGGCCGGCCACCTTCTCCCCGCTGGTGTAGATTTTCTCGGGCTCGCTGAAGGCGACGGTGAAGGTCTTGATTTTCTTGAACATCACCATGGTGAGTAGAGGTCACTTTTCAACCTATTTGATTTTGGAGAAGAGTTTCCTAGGATTATTTTCTCTTCCCCTGCAAAACAGGGGTCGAAATTTGTCCTCTTTGCGAGAAATGCTAGGGGTACGAGCGGAACTCCCCAAAATGGAAAAGGTTAAATTTCTTTTTTTTTTTCTGACTTCTGTCTCCTTTTTAGAAATAGCCCTACGAGGCTGAAAAGGTCAAATTTTGCTCTTGCACCGAAGCACCCCTCACACTCAGCACCCAACAGGCTACTGCGCTGCTACACCCGGATGCCGACTTTTATACCTCCTCCTCCCCTTTCTCACCCTCCCTGGAATTGTTGATCTCGAGCTGCTCCATGCGGCCGGCTCGTGTCCCCTCGTGCTGCCCTCGTGAACAGCGCCCCTATTGGCTGCCTCGCCGTGTTTACAATCCAGGAGACCAATCAGAAGGCGGACTGCGGCGCGTGGACAGCGTGTGTGGAGGAGATGCCGGCTCTCAGAAGACAAAAAAAAGAAGAAGAAGAAGGCTGCAATAGGCAAAGCGGGGGAGAGGGGGAGGGAAGAGCGGAGTGACGCATAACTATCCAATGGGGACGAAGTTTGAGTCTCGTGGTACCTTATGACCGACAAATATTTTATCCAATGAGAAGCCAGGGGTAGGGGACCGAGAAACGTCGCGAACGAATGGAGCGTGGAGGGTGGGGTTTGGGTGAGTCAGGGCATGCTGAGGGGAGTTTGGCGGGTGGGTGTGGCGTGCTGTGACTGATGAGGGGACTTTTGGTAGGAGAAGCTATGAGTTATATGAAGGGTTGCCTTAAATAGCCAGATGTGAGGGGAGGTTCAAGCTTCGACCCACCCTTAGTGGGAATATATAGACTCTATGGCACATTCTTTTTAATCGGGGGGGGGGGGTCGTTTGCTTACTGGAACAGAAGTGCTTCCAAATAAATGAAAATCACAAGTGATATAAACACTTAACTAAATTAAGTCTGAGTCCAGTGGCACCTTTAAGACCAACAAAGTTTAATTCTGGGTATAAGCTTTCTTCGGATACGTTGAAACAAGTGCCACTGGACTCAAACTTTGTCCTGTTGCTTCAGTCCAGCAGGGCTGCGCACCTGAACCTGC